AAAAAATTGACATAATATTTTTGAAAATGTTTACAAGCATTCAAAAAATGTTAAATATATATAGAGAAAATGTTTATTATGTATACAAAAAATGTGTATGATGTATTTTAAAATGGTAATCAAGAATTTGTAAAAAATATTCAAAAAGTGTTTGCAAAATGTTAATCAAGCATTTGGAAAATGATAAAATGTGTATAGAAAAATATTGACCATGTATTTACAATATGATGGAAAAATATCGAACTAGTACTTGAAAAATGTTTATCAAACATTTGAAAAAAAATAAATGTGTATAGAAAAACTGTTCATCATGTATAAAAAAGATGAAAAAATGTGATCACGTATATTAAAATGTTAACTGAACAGTTAGAAAAATGTTGAACAAGTATTTTTTTTAAATGTTAATCAAGCAGTTGAAATGTTAAATGTGTTTTAAAAAATGTTGACGATGTGTTCAAAGAATGTTAAATATTGCATTTAAAAAATGTTAATTAAACATTTAAAAATATTAAAAATTCTTAGAAAAAATGTTGACCATGTGTTAGAAAATTCTAATCAATTATTTTAAAATGTTTAAAAGTGTTTATAGCAAAAGTGTTGACCATGTATTCAAGAAACATTAATCTTGTGTTCAAGAAATGTTAATCAGCATTTGAAAAATGTTTAAAATGTGTATAGAAAAAATATTGACCATGTATAAAAAATATTAATTTTTATTGGAAAAGTGTTAAATGTTAAAAAATGTGGTTGACGTATACAAAAAGTGTATAACAAAAACCAAAAGGAACAAAGAAACCCAAAGAAAAGCGGGAAAGAAACAAAATAACCCAAAGAAAAAAGGAAATGCAAAATCCGATAATATCAATGAAAGAAACAAAGAAAAACAAAAAGGGATAAAACAGAAAAAGAGAGAAGATGTAACAAAACCAAACAAAAAACAAAAGAAAATGAGGAAAGCGAATAAAAATGAAGAAAGAAGAAAGAAAATAAAAATTCTGTATAAACAGGGAAAACGAAACGAAGAAAACCTGATGAAAAAAGAAAAGAAAACAGAAAACCTGTCTAAAAACCAAGCTTTTTTCATTGTAGTAGGTTGGGCCCAGGTTATTCAACATGAACTCGATCTTTGGCTCAGTGGCATCGGTGCGACGAAGTAACCTAGATATCGCTAGTGGGCTGGCCCAATTACTCGAGACGCTTCAGTGAGAGATCCATATATCTCGCTGAACGAAATCACTAATTAAGGAGTACTCGTTGCAAAGAACACTTTACTTTCCCAGGTCACGTCAAGTGGCGCACATGCAGCACGCCACTTGTCGCAATCTGGAAGTTTTTTTTTTGTAGATCCGTTTATTCAAAACGTTTTATCTCTTAAACCGTGCTTCCAAATCTCGAACCGTTTTCACCATTGGATTCCTCGCTTTGAGATCTTCAAAACTAGATCCCATGTTGATAGGTTTTGACGAACTTTTTTTCACGAAAAAAAACCGGACAAAAAAACCTGGCGAAAAAACCGAACCGGGAGCACGGTTTTTTTTCCTTTCCGAAAGAGGCACGCCCGTGTCTCTCACGCCGTGCCTCTCGTGGAAGCAAAACCGTGACTCTCGTGGAAGGAAAAAAATAAAAAACGCGTTTTTTTTTCGTTTTCGAGAGGCACCACCGCGACTCTCGCGAAAGCACAACCGTGCCTCTCGCGGAAGCAAAACCATGACTCTCGTGAAAGAAAAAACAAATAGAAAACGCGTATTTTTTCCCTTTCCGAGAAGGCACGGCCGTGATTTTCGCGTAAGCACAATCATGCCTCTCACGGAAGCAAAACCGTGCTCTCACGAAAGAAAAAAAAACAGAAAACACGTTTTGTTTTTCCCTTTCCGAGAGGCACGGCCGTGACTCTCGCAAAAGCACAACCGTGTCTCTCGCGGAAGAAAAACCGTGATTCTAGCAAAAGAAAAAAACAGAAAACGCGTTTTTTTTCGTTTCCGAAAGGCACGGCCGTGACTCTCGATAAAGCACAACCGTTCCTCTCGCGGAAGAAAAACCGTGACTTTTGCGAAAGGAAAAAAAGAAAACGCGTTTTTTCGCGCAAAAAAAAATCGAAACTTTTTTTATCGAAAAGCTAAGAAAGACCGGGGGAAAACCAAAACGTCGCGGGAAAAACCGTTTAAAAGTCGAAAACGCGTGCGAAAAAATTAAAAAAAAACAAAATCCGAAGGGAGCGTCCAGAGCGCGACACGTGGCGAATGGCTGAGAGCACGCCAAGTGGCGCTGATCGTTGCGAGGCTCCCAAAGGAGCGCTCGTTAACTAGTTGCTCCCCTCGCTGAATGCGAGATATAGCTCCCGCGCGAATATCCTGATATGAAAGGTACTTTTTAGTACAAAGTTGACCATGTGACACATGTGATAAGCAATTCAAACTATTAAAAAAAGTTAATATAAAGTTGAGTTATCTATTTTGAAACGGATGAAGTATGCTATATCTTGATGGGCCAAATTTTGGGCGCAGGCATGGCAGAAGGAAATCACCCCACAGCGATTTGAGTTTCTAAAAAAAAACCAGCTATTTGAAGATAAGGCAGCAGCAAAAGCAACATCCTCTTGGACGCATACCTTCTGTCGCGGAAGCTCCCACGCTGGATCGCGCATGGACGCCGGCGAGCTGGAGGTCTTCGACGCCGGCCGTTGCACCGACGGATATCAGCTGGGCCTCGCCGTGGGCCAGCGTTTCCGCGACACGATCAGGAGCAGGATGCAAGTGGACCTCTTCCTGCAGGAGCAGCTGCTGCCGTTCGCGTCCACGGCGGCGGGCAAGCCGCTCCTCGCCGCGCTCCAGGCCGCCAACAGGGAGAGGTACCCCCGGTACTGGGATGAGCTGGTGGGCATGGCGGACGGCAGCGGCGTCCCGCTCCTGCACGTAAAATTCTCCTTCTCATTAACTTCCATCCCGGCCGTCTGCAACGTGGGATTGTTCAGCATTACTGAATGTGTGTGCTGAGCAGGTGATTCTGGTCAATTTGAGGAAGGAGATTCGTCCGTTCATCCCAAAGAAGGACCACGAACGGAGAGAGGAGGAGGACGACGACTGCTCCGACATCCTGATGGTGAGCGAGTCGACGGCGTTCGCGGCGCACAACGAAGACGCCAACGTCGCGCTGCTCGGCCACACGTACGTACTCCTACTAGTCGCCTTGCTCGTTCTCCGTGTCCGATCGATCGTCGCACAGCTGATCCTTCCTGCATTCCTGCCCTCTCCGCCTCAGCTACGTGGTGAAGGCGACGTCGCCGGACGGCGCATCCTCCTTCACCGCCTACACCTACGCCGGCGAGCTCCCCACCTGCGCCTTCGGGTTCAACAGCAACGGAGTGGTACGTGTACTGTACGTCCCCATCAGATCAGCCAGACGTACGCGACTGGACTGTCACGAACGCACGATCCCTGCTGAATTTCGACATGTTCAGGCCTTCACGCTCGACTCGGTTCCGCCGGCGATGGGCGAGGTCGCCGCGGGGGCCATCGCCGTGAACTTCGTGTCGCGGGACCTGCTGGAGGCGAGAGACCTCGACGACGCGATGCACAGGGTGTGCTCGCCGGGCGTGTCGGTCGGGCACTGCTACAACCTGATGGACGTCGGAGCCCGGCGGATCGTCACCATCGAGACCGCCTCCCGGAACCGGTTCGCCGTCCAGGAGGCCTGCGCGGCTCCCTCCTTCCACGCGAACATGTACCGCCATCTCCAAGTGGAGCAGGTAGACATGATCAGTACAGCTCAACAAGCTCTTCACCTCAGTGAGCGATGAGTAAGCTTCCACGTGTCGCGTGGATGGATATTTACGCAGGTGCAGGACGAGAACTCCATGAGCAGGGAGAGGAGAGCGGCGCAGTGCGCGATGGACTCCAAGGAGGAGGCGCTCGCGGTGCTCGGAGACACGGCCGACGACAAGTACCCGATCTTCATGGCAGGTTTATCTTAGCGCATGCCATTTTTCATGTATGTTGGGCACCGAAAAAACTAGGGAGTTTGCTACAAAAACATGACCTGTTGTTTCACCGGTGACTACTTTTCAGGCCCAACGCTGTATACTCTATGCACCGTCTTGGCTGATCTCGACGAGGAGACGATGACCATTTACATGGGGAATCCCAAGAACAGAGATGCCGTTCGAGTAGCTCTTCCTATGCTGTGAACTTCTAATAACTAGATTAGCTTAGTCCTCGCCGCTGAGAAATTGGCCAGTGTCCCTAATTGCTACCGTAGTATTATGATTGTAATTCAAAAGATTGGTTCAGACTTTTGGATGTTGTCACATAATAGTATATAATTGAGCATGATCATTTTTGCCAAACTGAGATCTGCAACAGGCTGCTTCTGTTCATATGACGATTATTCACTGTATGACTCCTCGCAACAATTATCACCTTCGCACTGTAGGAAGGCCAAATGCTGTAGTACAATGCTGTGCTAGACTGAAACAGTTCAGCACAGTGCCATAGACTTTCTGTAATGACTACACGGTGCTTTGACTGTTGAACAAATCAGTGGTGCTTTCCCTGAACAATGTTTTGGTAAAAGGTAAGGGTAAGAAAAAAGGCTACATGCCATCTACAGCTCTTTGTCCCAGGTCCAATACCAAATGACATCTACAGGTAAAAAAAAGTGCTCTTTGGACTTGAGGTTTCCACATGCTCTGAGTCTCAGTACCAATCATGCTGATAAAGGGATGCCGTGGAAAAGGAGGCAGAAATTCTCGTCAGCAACAACAAATCATCCAATGCATGTTATGGTGTTCCCATATCAACAGTAAATTTCCTGTGGATAATCAAGACTTTCAGCATATCAGTGTACCACTGTTATTACACATGAGAAATTTCTAAACTGCTGTACAAAAACAATGTTTTCTTAGAGGATGGTATTTTATCTGTAGCGGCATTTTGCAAGTAAATGATGTATCTGACGCACACCTGTTATGTACCATGTCGGCGAATCTTGGGTCCCCTCTCAAGTCATGAAGTCGCGATTTCAACTAGTGTCACAGCGGCAAATGCTAAAAAAAGGCTCCCTCCGATGTATGCTATAATCTGCACGAGAATGGAGACAGAATTGTTGGACATAAACTGTGCAAGAAGTTACCTTAAATTTCTCAGGTTTTCTACAAATTTGACAGTTACACATGAAGTATTTGTCTCAACAGCTGAAAAGAAGTCCCTAAAGTCGACATTATTCACCATGATAAAATGGAGGTGACAAGATATTCTGTTATTTTTCTGTAACAGCCTGTGTTTAAGTATGAGTAGATTTCACTTACAGCGCCTTTTCCTGATGGCCTACGCTTTTCCATTAGTTCATTAGTTGATGAAATTGAACGGTTTGTTTAGGTAGAAGAATCAGTTGATATTATATTAGCAAATTATATGTTAAGGGGTTGATCGAGTGACAAACAAATGTAATCGACACCACAAATCTGTAGCAATTTAAACATGGGGGTGAAACCACTAGGTCAAATTCATTACACAGATAACTGAGCATCACTCAGTTGGCTAGAGGCGAACGTGCTCGCCCAGCCCACCCGGGTTCGAGGCTTGGCCTCCCCGGTAGTTTCTTCTAAATAACAACAACAATGCCGCTTGCTAGGGATGTTAGTCGTAAAAAAAAAACTAATCACATGATAAATCAGGTTCCCTTGGTAGTACTGATTTACCTTTTCAGATAGGAATGTCCCCAGCAAAGAACCACCAAGAACTGCAATCTGCGAGAGAAGAAATAGGTTAATGCCAATCTCCCTAAGAACCAGAGGCAAAATGAGCAATAGAATAACTGGCATGTACGTAGTTGCTGCTCATAGTGTTTATGTTCAATAAACAGGGTAGATTTTAACTAAAAGAAGTTCCTTAGAAGAACTTAAATAAACATTGCATCCCGATAATACACTGAAGGTGTTAAGTTAACAAGCACATGCAAAAACTGATCAACAAGAGAAGGCAGTTGCAAAACACAAGGCTGGCACAACAACAGAACAAGTAGGACTCAGATAAATGACCAAAGCCCTAAAGATTCCAGCATTCCATCAATTGCAATGTTATAGTGCTTTAGTATGCTGACTACAAATAACTTATCACGAGAATGTTTATGCAAATTAGGACCATTTTTGTCAAGTAATGTTGTTTCTTACCAATGTTGCAACACCATGACCAGCAAGCGATCCTGCAATGACACCCGGAGGGGATGAAGCCGCAGCAAGTGCTGTGAAAGAACAAGGAAACAAGAGTCAATGTTGGCTGTGAAAATAGAATCTCACACTTGTATGGAATGGCAAGAACTATACCAATTGTTGAGAAAAATGATTTATCACCCCATTCAGCAACAAAAACCAAAACAAATGTGCTAGCAAGAGTACTGGCGACAGACACTAATCCTGCGCCATTTCCAGAAAACTTCGAAACTGCTATCTCAGCCTGCCATTGTTCAGTATAATAGTGTTATAAAGCAGTTTCACTATGAGACAGAAAGAGGGCCAAGCACAAGAATATCATCAAGTGCACCAAGCAACTGCAAAGGCTATCGGTTAGATATGTAACTATAACTATTGCAGTATATTCCTTAATGTCAGTGATCTTGTATGTGTGGCCTTTTTGCATACTTCTTTTGAAGACTATGCCCTTTATCATGTAATAGATAATATTGATGTACTTCTTAAAAGGTTTACAATATAAGCACGCGATAGAAGGCCAAGAAGATTGGATTATTATGCATATTATTATCTTAAGTATATTATGCATAAAGCAAGACATCAAATATAAAGTTGGAAGAGCAGTATATTCATCAGTTAAGTCTTAGTTGATTAAAAGGTATGAATGTGTTTTTCTCTAAGATCCATGTCATGAATATTGTGACCTGAAATTTAAGGATATGGTAGACTAAACCTAAGAATTTAAATTTTGAAGTTCTACCTCCTCTTGCTCCTCATTCATCTTTTCTCCATCACCTGAAGCCGCATCAAGTAATGTAGTAACTCCATAGTATACCTAAATCCAATTAAGCTTGTCAGGCATGACAATGTTTTTAAACCTCAAAAAGTAATGCAATAGTAATAACCCTGCACACACTTAAACTTGTTTACAGAACAACTGATTTCTAAGTACATATTTGAGTATGTCATAGGTCATGATTTCAACACATTGTATATTTGTAAATGTAACAATAATATGAGGTTTTTTTGCTTACCAAGAGACACACAGCAAGAATGTCATCAATTGGGAAATCTGTACCGCCAAAACTGCATATGCAAGAGGCACATCAGATAAAAACAGCAGTTAGAAGGTTCTTCACTAAGAGCAGCAAACAGAAGGTCGTCAACTAAGGGTGGCAGATAGAAAGTCCTCTTTAAAACTTCAACAACAAGTACAATCACCTGAATGGAAGGACGCCATCAACGTAGTGAAATGCTCGACCAAGAACTACAGATATAACTGTCATTACCCTGTTTATACCCAAGAAGAACAACCTTGTTTATAAGTCTGATATGTTGAAGTAAAAAAGCGGAACTTCATAATTTACTGACTATGGAAAAACTTATATTCCTGTATAACTTAAAATCTATAGCTAGAAGCAGATAAGCAAGTAACAGTATAGGAGAAGCATCGTAGCGTATAGAGAAAAGCATGAAAAATATATTTGTAGTACTTACGCAAGTGCTCCAAATGTGCCAAGAAAAATGACTCCTCCAGAATTTCTAGCTGCTAAAAGTGCCTATTGAAACACATGAAACTGCAGCACTTATCAATGACTCATTTTTGTATACACATTGGTATCAAATTACTTGTATAGCACAGAGTGAGAAGTAAATAGGAAGCCACATAACTTGTGAATCACTTCCTCCGTCCCATAATATAAGAGCGCTTTTGACACTACATTAGTGTCAAAAGCGCTCTTATATTATGGGACGGAGGGAGTAGAATGCACTACTAGTGGTAGGGGTGTTCAATGTTCATAGTTGGTTTTACGGTTTGATCCAACCGGATTTTGAACTGGATGTATGCATGCAAAATTTAGTTCCGTCTGCCGGTTTCAACGTGTAGTTTGCGGAATAGAAAATGCAGGCAAGCATTGTGTACGAAGTCTTGAAGCCTCTAAAGATTCTAACCATGGCAAAATAATCTAACTGTGTGTGCATGGATATACTCACCGCAATGAAAAACGTCCTGTCTCCTAGCTCAGAAAAGAAAATCAGCAGAAAAGCCTGAAATTGGAATTTTGGAGCATCAGAAATGTACGCGACATGCACTTGCTTGACGGAAAGAAATAAAAGGAACTGACGAAGCATCAAATTTGAAAGGGCAGAGGCAGTTCTCCTAACTGAAGCAAAACCTGTACTGATGTCCCCGAGATCCCCCAGCAGGTCCGCCGGCGGCTGCAGGCCCATGAACTGCGTGCCGGCCAGCGCCTGCTGCGACCCCTGGATCATGAGCACCCCCGCCGCCGCCGCGAACGCGAGCCCCCATTTCGGATCGGACGGCGCGAGCCCGCCACTGTCCGTACCTGCCGGCTCCGGTGCCTCTCTCTCGTCACAAACCACAGGAGCTCCAAGCAGCGGCGGCGCCTCGCCCGGGTCGCGCTTAGCTGGGCACCTCAGCACCTGCATCGGAGGCGATTTCACGTCAGGTGTTCCGGTACGGCGGGGAGCTATCTATCTCTTTCCTCCGTTTAGGGATGAGGTTCAGGTGCACTGTACCGGTCGCCCGGGAAGGCTGGCGAGACGCGGCGGCGGGCGGAGAGATGGAAGAGGCGTCCTTGTTCGGTAGGGTATGGAGGAGGAGGAGGTGAAGACGGTGGAAGAGCAGGAGGTGACGGAGGCCATGGCGCCGCGGCGGTGGCTACGACCTGCGGGGGCGGGGGCGGGGGCGGGGTCGGGGCGGGACGGACTGAGCGGTTGCCAGCCGCTTGCTCTCGGCCGTTGGGAGTGGATAGAGTTCGAACGGGTTGTTGGTAGGTAGGCTCACATGCAGCCTGGCCCACTGTTTTGGGCCAGCCCATGTTCAAAGGTTCGCTTGGCAACAAGCGGCGGCGGCGGCGGCACGTCCGGAGCAGCAGCGTCTTCGGCGATCGTCAGTTTTGCCACGAGCTCGCCGGAGTCGACGAGAGCGTGAGCATCCGCCGCCGCAGACGGTCCTATCGTTGCTTTAGTCCGTCGATCGATCCCGTGCTCGCGCTAGCTCCCTGTGACCGAGGGAACTCGTGCTCTCCCGCCCGCCGCCATGGCCGGAATGCAGTGCACACCAGGTGCTCGACTCTATGCTCGTGTCGATTCTCCTAATTGTAGTTTGCTTAGTTTGGTTTGTACTGGCGTGCGTTTTCTTCCGTGCACCACGGCGAAAAGGTTTGCTTGACTGAATGACTGGTCAAGGAAGGATGTAGCTACCGTTATCTGTCTTTGCTTGGATTGGACGACCCTGGCTGTGTCCTCCGGGCTTATTGGTGCCGCTGGGTAGATAGGATGATGGAGGTTGCTTTTGCACGCCGATGCTATGCACTGTTCTTTAGTGTTCTGGATTTGATAGTACGCACTATGTAGGATGAACAGCGAGCAGAGCTAATTCCTAACATTATTTATGCAGTCTGATAGCGTGTCGAATTTGCTTCGACTGTGTTTAGCTGAAAGGCAAATGCACTTGGCGAGTTGGTGATGATAAGCTCAATCAGCAAGAGGAAATTAAGTTTTAACAGAGAAGAAGTGTGAAAAGCTCATTCCATACAATTTGGTTGATCGGCAGCATAATTCTGACCACTGTCAGATGTATGTATGTTAAAGCCCCACTTCATTTCACTACTAATGACTACAGAGAAATAAATGATGCTGACTATTCATATAATATTAATCAAGTACTGGAGTGTCATTTAATGAAAATAGATTACGAGTGTATTCTCTATTACATTTGCTAGATCCACTGACGAGCAATAGTAACTAAACACACCTTTCCCCTTTCTAGCATTATGAAAGAGTAAAAACACTTATGGGTCAATAGGTACTGTGGTAGATGAGTAAACACTTTGTTCTATAACCTGTAGGTTTGCTAATCATTAATTTGTTTGTGGCATTCAATGGTTAGGTTCCAGTCTGCTGCTTGAACCTGGCCATCTGGGAGAGCTTCTCAACAGCTTCAACCAAATGATCAAGCCTAGCAACGAATTCAATCAGTAGCGATGCGGAAGTCGCAAGCGACAGCGCTGTGGTACTTTCAAGTGCACGCATCCTCGGAATCATATCAGAAACGTCATTTTCATCATCTTCAAAATCATCCACCTCCCGAGAAGGCCATGAATGCAGCCTCCTCTGCTGCCTTTTCATCATCTCATGGTAGGATTCAGGTTGCAGTGGCCCAGCTACTTGTGTTGCTATGTTTTCAGCCATCTTACTTTCTGGGTCATCATTTTGTTTGCTGTTGAGGTTGAAAGTGACAGCCCAGGAGGTTTTCAACTGTGGCTTGGCAGAGTTGGCTTCATGATTTACAGTAAAGAGGTAGGACTGCAGGTCAATTGATTGTTGCAGACGCTCAGTTGAGACATGCACATGCTTGAGTAGGCTTGTTTGAAGGCTTGACTTCATGTTGTTTACATCCTTTGCCAAACTGTGCAGCAACTCTGCAGCTTGGTTTGTGGCATCTAAGATCTCAGAGCGGAAAGCACATCTTAGGTTGTATGGTGCCTGCAGAATGCAATGACTATATTTATATGCAAATTATGGTAAAGTGGTTCCTGATTATCTTATTAAATACTCCCTCCATTCCAAAATAAGTGTCGTGGTTTTAGTTCAACTTTGTACTAAGACCACGACACTTATTTTGGAACGGAGGTAGTATATAATTTTCTAGGAAGTATACAAACATGAAAATTAAATCAACCCAGTACAGTAGTACATCGTGAGGAAAGGTGCACCTTTCAACTAATTCTTTTCTGCATTGTTTTAGATAAGATGATCCATGTTTGTTGTGATCATACTCTTGACCTGTGGTGTCAATTACTTGGTTAACTTGCAATCTTACAGCATCTCTTGAATGAATCTGCACTTCTAAATAGGCATAATTTGCATATACCTATACCATTCACAGAATGAGTATGCTATAGTTCTCATAAGTAAAGTTGACAGTCAGGTACTTTCAATGCTACTCTTACCAGCCAAGGTATATTTGGCATTTGATTAATATGATCAACTGATTATGTTGCTCCTCAGGTTTTTCTCTTGCATAAGCAAGAAACCAGTAGAAAGTTCCTTCCTGGTAGTGAACTATGAAGAATCTTAAGCTAGTGTTTAAGCAGAGTGGCAAATTTGATCCATATGACCTATGACAATGGTGTGCCGAACATTTACTACAGACGGTGTCCTTCAAAAGACAAATTTTCTCACAACATCCCTCAGATTTTAACTACCCTCCTTTCTGGTCCCTTGGCGAAGTATAATTTTTCCTTCTTATGTAGTATATTATGTTGTATTGTATCATGGAATAAGAATATGGTGTTTTCCACTACCAGGACAAGGAACTAACTAGGACAAAGAACCAGTAGCCTGCACGTAAAGGACCCAATGAAGGTATCAAATTCTATTCTCAAATCAAGGAGCACAATATTGGCATTTATTTCCTAGGACAGTTCAGATAGTTCACATATGCATCAAAGTATCATGTTTCTCTTATGTATAACTCTTCTATAATATTCTATGTATTATTATGTGTGCATCAACCAGTTTGTTAAAAATACTACTCCCTCCGATCCAAATTAATTGACGTTGGTTTAGTACAAAGTTAGTACAAGTTTGTACTAGACCAGCGTCAATTAATATGGATCGGAGGGAGTACATATTTTTGGAAATAGCTGCTGCAGTTATGGGTCTGTAGCTAGGCAGAAGAAGGATCAGAGTATGTACAGCACATATACTTCTGAAGCCAGGAGTATCACTATGATACCTGAATCTCTGAGTGCAGGCAGCCATGTAAAGCCATCACCTCATAGGCACAGTACTGAAGAACATTGCCAACTTTCACATATTCTGCCCATGGGTAGAGGAAGTGTTTGAATCTCCCATGTGGTGGCTCCCACTTAGCAGAGTTCGCCTGGACAATATTCACCATATCACCAGTGAAGTGTTATCTGGTATGATCCTGAGTAATAATAATTCAACTATACAAAACTAAGGTTGGCTACTTACCAGCGAGTCAAGTTTTGCTGATGAATTTAACATAGCTCGGCACTTCCTGAATGCTGGTTCATCAGGGAAGTCATCCATGACTGTCTTTGAGAAATCAGGATGTTCGGAAACGTCGCCGCTTAGATACTTTTTGACGCACTCTGTAGCAACAGAAAGTAGAAGTATTGTGTTATATAACCTCATTTGTGATTTGACTTCAAAAAACTTAGCTTGAGGACTAGAGCAAGACCTTCTAACGAGTCTGCCAGAGAACTGAAATTGGCAACTAACTCCATGTGTAGTTGTTCCCCTGCCCAGATTGGGTAAATGGTGACATTCACAAGAACAGCTATGAGGGCTCCAATTGCAATTGAGCAGAGTCTATCCATTGCAGTCCTGATGGGGTTTCCCATACGGTATCCCGATACAATGATCAAGCAGTAGGTGAATAGGATAACTCGGAAACCATACTCGTATGGAATTAGTGATGGCCATAACTTCATAAAGGATGTTGCAGCTCCTGCATATCACATTATTGCACAGTAAAAATGTTGAAAACTGAAACCAAGTACTGTAAATAGAAGTTCTAACTTGGAAAAAAAGGTTAATATCTGTTCAATACTGCTTAGCTCTAAGACGTACCAACAAGAAAGATGCTGAAACCAATGAGGTATGGTTCTGCAGTGTGGCCACAAGACATAGCCACTTGAATAATGACTATCGCAAATACTCCAGCAAGTACACTTCCAAGAGCTCGATTGAATCCACGATTGAATGTTGCACCTACAGATAGCTTAAACTATTAGGATTTCCATTCATAATATTTTTGCATATTTGCCATCAATGCTCATGTAAACTAACATAGTATATCCAAATAGTGTTCATAATGTTTCAAGCAGCTGTTTTAACTAGCTACTCATGACACTGATGTTACTTACCGATAGTGTACTCGAACATAATAGCAACAGTGAGGATGGACCATATGATGTTAGTCCCAAAGATGCCATAGGGCGCACGAAAGAGTATGAGAAGTGACACAAGGAGGCAAGCAAGGCCAACTTTGAGTGCAAAGGTAACCCTGTTTGTGTCCTGCCTAGCGAAGTCCCAGACATCACATAGCCTTTTACTTGGGGACTGGCCTTTCTCACTGATCTGCTTCTTTACACTTTCTTGCTCCACGCTTTTTGGTGGCTGGCAAATATCTATCCTTATACTACCCTTCTTGCCATTCATTCTCCAACTGAGGATGTCCTTTACACAGTAGCTCTAGGGACTGCACGGAGAACCTCAGATAATGCCAATGTGGCTGCTGTATTTGTGCTTGAGTTGAGCTGTTGAAGTGTAGAGTCTTATGGATGGACAGAGGGTATATATAGCCCATTGGGAGGTTAAAGTGCAAGTAGATAAAGAGGTGGTGTAGCCACCATAGTGTCACATTAGGAGAATATAGCTTCTGAAATAACTGATGGAAATATTAATGCAGGTGATTTTCGAGATGCTCTCACTCAATAATGTAGGTATTGATAGAGAATTGGAATCTATCATCTGAAATAATGCCATCTTTCCGGTACTGATTTGTAGTTTATGGTCTATTGTTTCCCAGGTTCGCAGCTTCACGTTGTCTGAGAGTGAACATGTTTGGAGCAGATCCTTAATAGAGGCATGTCGTCTTTATTTTGGATGGATACTACCACGAAATATCATCAATAGAATGGTTTTAGACTCTCCACCACATGCATATATTCTAAATGCATACGTGAAGCAATCTCCTGCTTAGATCCACGAGACCAAAATCTCGACTCTCAAGAATGAACTTTTGGTGTGATCAGAAAAATCTTTAGTGGTTCATGGACAACAGGGAAAACCCAGAAGTTGAAGGATTTCTGCTAGTTTTGCTTACTAGTATGGTTCTTGCTGTTTGATAAATACTGCATACTCATCAGCTTATATAGCAAATTTCTTTGCGACCAAAGAGATGAAGTTTTCACCAAGAAAAAACATGTTTGAACATATATGATAAATTAGAATGTTCCTTCCAAAGTTCAAACTTGTCATCTGTCTCCAGCATTCTTGCTAGCTTGCAAAAGACTGCATGTTACAAGGATAGGGCTAGGTATTTTCAAAGTTTTAAATAGGGAGCTATGGCAAATAGCGGCAGCCTGAAAATAAATTAAATTGGCGCTATAGCGCCACAAAATTGTACAGGATGCCGTTTAGCATGATGCCCCTCCGCTATAGCACTCTATTTAAAACTTCTTTATTTTTGTTGATTGTACTCTGCTACTCTAAGAAAACATTGCTTGGTAGAGACCAGAGTTATTAGGCCAATAAATAGGTTTTATATCGGTAATCAGATGATCTTTCCTGATCCGTGTGCCATTTGCTAAAATTTTGCCTATTTTTTAACAGCCACTGTAATCTTTAATCTGCAACAGAAAGTGTATATGTCATGTCCCATGCTTGACTAGGCTATGATGATGATAAAATTTATGTTCTATGATTTAATCACTCTTGTATAATGCAAAGATCTGTGTGTGCACGCACGGATGCTCAGGTATGGTTTGATTCTTTTTGTACCTGTCTTTTGGCAGGATTGCGAAACCTGAGCTTCAGCACCAGAAAACAAGAAGAGACAGATTCTGTAAAGCTTGTGATCTCATGCTGCATGGCATCAGATTCCTCATGGCCTGTCCGCGTATGGAACGATGTCGGGTTTAGAGTTTGCATGGAGTGATGCCATCAGTGAGCCTAACGTGAACGGATTAATGATGGATCGCGGAATCTTCACTGGTCAACTGTCTATAGACACGTTAGATAATGGTGTGACATCCTATTCCTTCCAAAAGCATCACCAGGAATAATTTGCGATTAATTTCTTTGGATCCCGTCGCCGTCGCCGCGCCTCCCCCACTGGCTCCCGTCGCCGTCGTCGGAAGCCCACCCGCTGCCCTCCCTCGATGGCGCAGACGCCGCCGCGAGCGCTTCCGCCGTGGCAGCGCCAGAGCGGCCTCAGGCTCGAGCTCATCCTCTTCCATGGAGGAGGGCAACGGGAACGGCTTGTCGAGCAGGTGGAGCTCATCGCCTCCTCCCCCTCCACTCTCTTCGTCGACCACATCAGAGGAGACTGCCGCTCCTCCGCTTCGGCTCTCGACGCGTGCTCCACATCGGTGCAGCACTGGCAGGCCAACGCGTCGAAAATGCGCACACCCCGGCCGCCTCCTCCCCCTCTACCGCGGCCGTACCCGTCTCCGACGCCGACGAGGGCGCCGCCGTGCCTACCGGACAGCAGGGCCAGTGCACTGAGGTCGTCCACACCGAGGGGGCTGATTGCACTTTTTAAAAGATCTAGGGGGTGTGTTTGTCAATGTTTTGCCAAGTCAGCTCTTGACAGCCAGGCCCCACTTGTCAGAAAGCGATCAAACGGGCTAAATCACTCGATCAGTGCTTTTTGCAATGACTTAAGTGATTTTGCAGTGTTTTTTGCAACGGATTAACGAGTTGGTGGTTTTCTGCAAACCTAGCCACAAATGTGGTGGTTTCTTGCAATTGACTTATATTACTTCCTTGCCGCTTACTCCACTGCCTCTAGTCACCATTACCAATTTTGCTTGCACCATAGCCATCTGACGTTCACCACATGGTTATCACCTCCTAACACTTGTTGCACAATATGGCCGCATGCATCTTTGTGATGCATAGGCCGGAGGCAATCCTCCTTTTCTAAAAAAAACATCTGTTGCACAAATTTATGTTGGTTTAGTAACAGAGCCCTCAGAAGGACATAAATAACACTAGTGATTTCTTGCGACCTCCAAGACAGTACTCTTACTTACTACTTCTATAGCTATATATTAGTTTATACTCCCTCCGTTCCTATATGTTTGTCTTTTTGGAGATTTCAAATGGACTATCACATACGGATGTATATAGACATATTTTAGAGTGTAGATTCACTCATTTTGCTCCGTATGTAGTTGTTGAAATCTCTAGAAAGACAAATATTTAGGAACGGAGGGAGTATAAGGTAAAACTATAGTGCCGAAATAATTTTCAGTCATTGTTCAATGTTGACACTTTAGACATTTTCTAGTCGAAATTGTGTGTATTTGACCAGAGGATTCTAAGTGTTAATACAGAAGGACAAAGGTTGTACATGGTGTTCCATCTTTGCAGACATTTATGCAGTTCCCAGTTTTACTTTGGTCGGCAGATGGCCTTTACGGATTTGGAAGGAAGTCGGGAGGTGTATAATGCACTAATTGTGTTGTTCGATATCGAATCAAAGGCACGGACAATATCTAAGCGAATAACATGAGGTCTTTACTGAGGAACTTTAGCTAGGGTAGGTGTTATTCGAGCTCACACTTTTCCTGTGTGCCTGTTGATGAAAAAAAATCACCGTGCAAGATCGTTCCATTCCTGGTCCTGCTTGTGTCTTCCCCTGACAGTCTGCATCAGTGTTGCTTCTGCATATACAGGTAGCACCTGGCTGATGCTTGTGTGATCCACGAGCATGATAGCATTGATGGAGACTTGGCCTGATTTATTCCACAACTAGAGCCGGAACTTGCCGCCGTGCCCGTGGAATTGCCCGTTTGGATTTTTTGTTCTTGCAGGGCAACTTGTGGGGTTGATGGCTGGCTACTGGAAGGTTACCCAGGAATTTCCTGCCCTGCGTCTTACTGCAAATTATTGGAAGATCATATTTTTATCGAGAATGAAAGCATTATTCCTCCAGCGTCGACAGTAGGAATGCAAGAGGGGGTATGAGAGACGTGAAGGTTTTGTGAGGACCCGATTTATTTTGTCCAGTGGCATGCAAGAGGGAGTGGACACGGCCCAAGTTTCATATCAAATGTGTGGTTCCTGTTCTGGTTGAATTATTCGTTGTGACTGTTTTCGCTTATCCGGTTAGGCTTGAGCATTTTGGACCAGTAACATGTTGCTTTCAGTTTTGAAGCTGGGTAAGCTCATATAAAATGCATAATCTTTCCTATTTTCTAATCAAGCTGAATTTTGTAGACCGCTTTGCTTGGTGCTAGACATCTCAAATCATTTATCCCAATCTTATTATATATTCCCTAAAGTTAGTAAAAAATTGAGACACTTATTTTGGGGCGGAGGAAGCACTACGGACCTATTGTCCTGGGCCTCACGATGAAGTAAATGAGAAATATTAGGTTCATTTATTATTATCACTATTGGTGTCAAAAAGTATGCATAGTTTTGAAGATACCGATGCAAAACACTGTTTGTGCTTATAAAAGTATTTGTTAATGATCAAATCGACTGATGGCCATGAATATCTACTGTCCTCATCCTGATTCTGCCCTATCCATCCAGTTCTTACAGGATCGGTGGTTACTTGTGCTAAACTTGGAAGTTTGAGGGCTTGATGTCTTATTTCATGGTTGATGGACATGGATTTTTCCTAACGCATTGCGCGTGCGACGCATATCTCTTCCACACATCTAACATGCACGTCAAATCAACATGCAGGCAGGTCCTACAAAGATTTCCTGTATTCTAGCGTATATAAGTTTTCTTGTGACATTCTCTCTCCCGTATTGCAGCTACAGCTAGCGTCAAATCAACACCAGACTGGCACAAGGAATTTCTTTGTTCCAACTGTACAATTTAATTTTTAAACTACATCTGCGTGAGAGACAGAAGGGCTTCTATTGCTAATGGACCATTAAATTACATGCTTAATGAATGGTCCTCGTTTCTTCCATTAATGTTCAGGTAATGATTACAAGATACACATTCAGATCAATAAAAAATTTCTTGAGTATGGAGAGGGACAAAACAAGTGCATTCTTCTATCCGAAAACTGCAGGAGAGGAAATAAAATAAGATCAATCCATATTCCTAAACTTGCTGGATGAAAAATACATCGGATAGAAGCCACTGTCACATACGAAACCACATGCATCTTAAAAGATTGGGAAAAGAATAAAAATCTTGTTTAAGAAAAAACAAGGAGAGGAATCACTGCTACCTAGACTCTTTAAGGAAGACGACGGGGAAGATGAGGAGGAGCTCTAGACTCCTCACTGGGCCTTGCCGCCGAGCCGCTGGACTCTAGATCTGGCCACAACCGAGCTGCTCACAGTGATGATGCTGCTGCTCGTGGTTCGTCGATGCCCGACATCCTCTCATCATCCCCCACCATGGCTATGAGGCAGCCACGCTGCTCCATCTTACCTCGATGGCGGATCTGGCGATAGAGGCAGCAGGGCATGGGCGGAGGACAATCGACTACCGGTGAGAAGCACGTCACATGTCAGGAGAGGGGAGGGGGCCACGGAGGAGGAGCAACCCGGCGATGCGTGGCCATGGCAAGGGAGGAGGGAGCCGGCGGCGCGCCGGATTCGACAGACACGGGATGGGGAACGAGAGAGAGAAGGAATGAGGGGTGGGGAACGGCCGAGCGAGAGAGATACGATGTGACCTGTATTCCTGCCGCCGTGCCGCATATAGCGCTGAGAAAATAAGGCTATGGATTGTTGGGTGGGACCAGGTGGGGCACGCTCGTGCGAATCCACATGACGCAGCGACGGAGACGATTCGAGTTGCGCGCACAACCGGTTAGGCTTAGACATATTCGGTAATAATATGACTGTCCGAAAGAATGTGGATGTGTCACAAGTCCGTACCATAGAACATCATGTTTTGTTATCTTAAAAGTATGTGCAGTAGTCCTGATACATGGATTTTGAACATGGTGTCACCGCTTAGCGCAACGGTTAACATTTAACAAACTCCTAAACTCGGTTCAAAAGGAAAAACTCCTAAACTTAGCGTACATCTTTGCTGTTGCTCGTCATGCTTTTGCTGATTAACCTTCTGCTGTGTGCGCGTGATAGTGTAGAAGGTCTTAGACATGGCTGGTGCAGCTATTGGCGTCGTGCTAGATGAATTTGGCACATTATTTTGTGAGATCTTAGACAAGGGAACGCTGCACCTTTGTTCTTTCGAGTTGATTTACTCAACCATTATGTTCTGAGTATTTATAACATGACAAAATGGACACAAAGAATGCTGGACTTCATTTGGTTCACAATATATAACTTTAGTCTGGATTTATAGACATAATAATGCTGGACTTCATATGGTTCACAACATATATAATTTTAGCCTGGATTTATAGATATAATACTGCAATAAAACTAGTAGTCAGACTTGCTGTTTTGGAGACCGTTGCAATGTCCAGATCGGCGACTTCAGGGAACCGGAGCAGGCACGCCCCCAAATCAGCTTGCTCACAAACATATGCAGCACTGCAGTCCATACAGCTCAACCAAGAACAAATTTATTCTGTATAAATTTGTCTCTGTACATATATACAACAGTTATGATTCAGTACTACTCATCAGTGATTGGTAACTACAATACAACAAAAAGGTAGATTTTGTAAGTATCGTGCTAAGACCCACCCTATTCTCCTCTGAGATTTGCTAGGCGTCTGATCCATGCCAACCTCGAATAAAGCGACGCCGTGCTCAAAGATTGAGATGAAGCCTCGAAATATGTTGGTTTTGGAGTGGACGGACAGCTAAGTGATCTGACTAGCTCTTGTACAGACAGGACCTTGTACTTTGTCGGTGGGGTCGTAGCAATGTTATGTACCTTATGCTCATAGATCTTCCCATTCCTGTCGAGTTTGTAAACGGAGGCACCGTCAAAGCGGGCATGGCCATCCCATGGGACTCTAGGAATGCCGTGGGCAATCCAGCGAATCATAATAAGATTCTCGGCAGGCTGCCATATACTAACTATATCAACCCATAATGCTTTAAAGAAGATACGTCCAGTAAAGCGCAATCCCCAGAATAGACTTCTGTAATTGTCAATGCCCTCGAATTTATTGAAAGGGTTTCTGAAGACGATATCATCTCTGGCAAATAGCAACAAACAGAATTAGGAAAAGACCAATGATAAGACCCAACAGTACAAATCTGTACAAGAAAATGCAACCTTCATGCAATGTACTCTGCATAACATAATAAGTTAATTAGAGTGGAAGACAGATGCAGGCTCAAGTTACTCAACTCATGGGAGCAACTGCAAAGCATTAGAAATACATGCTAAAGTTCAAACAGAGCCAAGATCGAGCAATTAAACATGCAGGTCTAATAGTAACCTCGTCATTCAGATACAAAATATTGTATTTTTCTGTTTCCCTTAGGGGCTAATTTGGTTCTAGTCCTAACACTGCCACACTTTGCCACAAGTTCTTGCCAAACTTGCCTAAGGTTAGTTCAAAAAAATTGGAGCCACAAGTTGGCAAGCCTAAGGGAATCTTGCCACACTTTGTGAGTGGATGTGATTGGAGCTCTAGTGTGGCAAAAAGCATTTTTCCTAAGATGTGGCTGGAACCAAACGCCCAACTAAGTTGGTCAAACTTGCTTAACGTTGCGCATGGCAACCTTAGGCAAACTTAGTCTCAAGCCAAACAGCCCCTAAATTCAGTGAATATTCGAACTTCGAAGGCAGCTTAAAGATGCAAGAAAAGTACTGTATGATTTGGATGTAATTTAAATGGTTAGGGCATGGGCAATGTGCTGAGAATTTTGTTCAGATGAAGTCTGCTACCCATAGAGAGTCTAGCAGAGCAAAATTTGCTACAATGTCTTAGACCCGGCTGTAGGACCCACTAGCTAGCAGAAAGACAATCAGCTCTACCTTTTTCTGAGCACTAGCATATTTATCTCATGAGAGTTTGCAAACTGGCATTGCGCCCATTCAATTCTTTTATTTGCTTAGACTCGGTCCTCAAATTAGAACCGGTTCCTCAAATAATTTAGCTAGCCTCACCCCTTCTAATCTTTACACCCGAGTCCCACATACAAATGATACTCTTAGCAACGGCTCTTTTGCACTATTGCAGGGGATAACCTCATGATCGCAATAATAAAATATAAAGTCTAATGGACAACTGACATACTGATAAGGTTAATGCAAGAAACACTTATGTAAGCAACTGATGTTGGGTCATGTTTATAAATGTTTGGTCCCACTCCCAGTCTGCATCGTAGATTAGACAACACGCTAAACGGATAAGATAAGCTCAAGCAAATGTCATATTGCTTGCATTAATTGATAATTATTAAACAAGATGGCCACAGTATGCTAACAAGAAAGAGACATCATTACATCCCAACCGAACCAGAAAACACATACTATCCAGAATTAGATTGTATTTTTAAGGAGAACAAGCAGGAGAACTGACTGTCTTTGTGTTACGAGGATAAAAGCTCAACAAGTAACAGAAGATAGGGAAAATGGGTGCAGGAACCCTCTATAAAATGCAGAGCAAAACAAAGAAAATGGCCAAAAGGGCAACTACAGCGCTAAGCTATCACCATAGACCGACGATGCTCGACGCAAACAAGAAAGAACCTATTTAAAACTTGATCAGCCTGGTCATCTCTTCCTCCCTCACCATGCACCACTGGTTCTTTTACAAGCTAGGATGTGTTTTTATTACACTAGTTAACTTACTAGTTCCCGATAAAGAAACAAAACAAAACTGCAACAGAAGAAAAAAGAAACAGATAAAATGTAGAGGCTAACCATGTGCATAAGAAAGAAGAAAAGATGGATGCCATCACATTGCGAATCTAGTACAAGAGCCTCACACCACTGGGTCAAGCCTGTCACCCATATACTCTGCTTTCCAGTCCACATTTCAGTTCATTGTACCAATGTCCACTCAGAATCAACACTAGAGGGCTGATGCTACTGCCTCGAACATGAATACCTGAATCTCTTGAGGAATGCATTGGGTAGCTCTACAAGTAAGAGGTCCTACTCACATCCACAAGACAAACCATATCCTAATTAACATTATATAGAGATAAAACCTAAGCTTCATTAGATGGTTTCTGAAATGTGGTTCTTCTGATGCTTGATAGCCCAATAGTAGCTGCGCTGCCCAGGTCATCCATCCCAACTCAAAAAACATCCAACACTAGATGGGTGCGAAGAGTACCAAAAGACTAAGCTAGACTATAATTTCAAGTTAGAAGAGATGCGGTATTGTGAGGCAATCTAGCCATCAACATCGGTCAATGGCAATCAAATAATCCAGAGAGACATCTGCAGCGAAATATGCATGTAGCATGTTCTAATTATGCCAGTCTGACACAGACCAATCCCTTATGAAGTAGCCACAAACAGATAGCGATGCTAATCAATCAATTAGAAGCACTCACCAATTTTACCCCAAATTCACCAGGGTTCCACCTAACAGTTGATCCTTTGTTTTTGTATTTTTTTTAAATAAAAGTTTCTAAAAGGATCTCAAGGTGAAGACAGAGAGAGGCAATGAAACATGGGCACGGACCTGTAGATATCGAAGCTGGGCTCCTTGTAGAAGACGTCGGGTATCTCCTCCCTGAGCGTGCGGATGGCGTAGCCCAGGTTGAGGTAGTACCTGCGCCGCTCCTCCTCGTCGTTGTCCCGGCGCGTGGTCGCCGCCGGCGACTCCGAGGCCGGCGTCATCGGCACGGAGAAGAGCGGCGGCGGGGCCGGCACCGGCAGCCTCCCGTCCCGCACGGGGTCCGTGACCCTGATCACCCGCCCCCGCCCCGTCCCCGTCCCGGCCTCCTCCTGCTTCACGCGGCCCCCGGCCCTGGCCGCCGCCACGACCCTCGCCCCCCTCCTCCGCACGACGCCGTGCGCGGGCGGCCGGGCCGCCGCGAGGTCCGGGAGGTGCAGGAGGTTGGCCATGCGAGCCTGGATTCGGAGCTCCTCTGCTTAGGTTTTGGTGGGATGAGGAGAGGGAGAGGAGTGTGTGAACTGCGTGAGAGAGGGGCGGAGCGGAGCGGAGGAGAGAAGGGTCATTTCATTTGACTTGGGTATTTGTTGGGTCCGTTTCCAGTTCGGTTTTGGATATTCCGCGGCGGCGAGCGTGGCGTCGGATGGCGCGCTCGTTTCGCCCGCTGCGTGTCTCTATTCTGAGGACGACGCGTAGCCGAATATCTCCCGAGTCTCTTTCTTTTTGTCTTCTTGCAAAAATATCTGCCGAGTCGGGGACGGCTTGTGCATCTGCTTGCTGCCGGTGTCTCTGTCTGCGGGCATTTCTGATGATGAACAACAGGCTACAGGTCCGGTTTTGTCTCTCTCAGAATATTATCCTCCAACTGAAAACAACATGTTTTACGAATACTCGCTTCGCGATCTCTGATCATAAACAACTTTGACCATTTTGTGCGTCTACGTGAATATGCAAATGTTATGAAACAAGCTATGGTTAATTTGCAGTATCCTCTCGCGAGGCGATTAGGATGAAGTCTTCCTTGCTTTGAAATTAGGTTATTATAAAGATGGAATTCGGATTTACCGGAAAGCATGTGGTAAATCATAGACTCGTCAAGATGGGTGTCGGCGTTCTGGGAACGGGGGTTCCCAAATTTGCCTGCCTGCGACCCGCAGCGTGACTCCACCAGCGACCCCATACGGCCCATTTTTTTCAACAAACACTCAAGACCCTCGCGAGAGGCCAAACCTCACGTGGACGACGCAAGACCTCCTCATGAGCGGCCTCATCAGACTGTCTCGTGAGGGCAGAGAGATCAAGACAAGAGACACCTCGCGAGGTTTCTGTGACGCAAGCCATGATGACTGGAACCAGGCGGGCGTCAGCGCGCGCAGCGTCCTCGTTTTCTCTTTGATGCTAAAGGGGCAAGCGCAGACGAGGAGTCCCGAGGCATCAGGAAAAGGTTTTCATATCGGTGTCTCTGTTTGCGGGCATTTCTGATGATGAACAGCAGGCTACAGGTCCGGTTTTGTCTCTCTCAGAATATTATCCTCCAACTGAAAACAACATGTTTTGCGAATACTCGCTTCACGATCTCTGATCATAAACAACTTTGACCATTCTGTGTGTCTACGTGAATATGCAAATGTTATGAAACAAGCTATGGTTAATTTGCAGTACCCTCTCGCGAGGCGATTAGGATGAAGCCGTCCTTCCTTTGAAATTAGGTTATTATAAAGGTGGAATTCGGATTTACCGGAAAGCATGTGGTAAATCGTTGACTGGTCAAGATGGGATTTGCCCCTTCGGTGATGGGGGTGGTGTTTCTTAGGCCCTCTAAGTGTTTAGTTTTTTTGGAAACACATGGGCATTTTTATGATTAAGGTGTTAATCATTTTGTGGAGTGCTATACATGACAAAGAGAAGGGGGTTGACCTGGAAACAAGGATGATAACCTCGCCTTGAGCTTGACATATATAAGGGATAATTAATTTGGTGCCTTTAGTTGTGTCCCCCTCGGCAGGTTTGCCCCTAGTTTCCGAAAACCCTCGTTCTTGCCCAACTCACTTTGGTTTCTTTGTACTTTTGCCCCCCGTCACGGTTTCGTCCAGTCAGCGCCGTTTGACCGCTACCAGCGCTAGATTTAGGACACGGCTTGCCCCCCGTGCTCACTCGCTTGTTCCCCACCTCACTCTTTCGTTCCCCATTCCTCCCGTCACTCTCTCTCCCTGTCCAAACCCTAGTTCGTCGGCGCCTCAACACCAGATCCAGAAACCCTAGGGGCACCACCACCAGAACGTCGTCTGCAGTACCAGCACATCCATCTCCAGGCGATGGGGGAGAATGGAGAAACCCTATGCGGCGGCGGCCGCCGCCACAAGAAGGGAATCGCATCGGCGCGGGAGGGCGATGGTTGCGCGCACAGCCACGGCGGCAGTGGTGTCGTCGACGGCGACAAAAGCTCGCCATCGGTTAAGGGGAGCGTTGAAGGCGGTTGTGGTAGCAGTCAGGGGCGACAAGGGCAAGGGCACCGCATCTGCACGGGAGATCCCGACGGGGTAAGTCTCAGATCTGCTTTTCCTTAGTATCGTAGGCTTGATTCAGAGAAGATTTAGTCATGGTAGATGTTGTGTTCATTATTGTAGGATGGATCCAGATGTTGCATTCTTTCTGTCTGTTAGAATGGAGACCACAGTCATAGTCTCTGCTGGTACCAGAGGAAAAGAAAGCAGCTTCACATTTCCATTAGTTGCGGACAGCAGTAGTAGTTCGTTTAATGATTTTAGGGCTAATATTTGTGCAAAGTATCCATGGGGATTGTTTGATCCTGTTGAAATAAGATATTGGGACAGTTCACAGGAGAGTTGGAACCCTTTACAGTGTGATAATGCGTTAGGTTTGATGTTTGCAAGAAATGCAGAGACAAGGTCATGCAATTTGGAAATTACAGTAATTCAGAGAAAGAGAGGAGAAAGGTGTGAGAAAACACTTGCATCTAGGACAACTGCTGGTGGGACCAGAGGTAGAAGAAGTGGTAGACCATGTGCATCTAGGCCAGGAGCTAGCAGTACTCCTAGTGCTCCTGGCACTAGTGCAACAAGTGCTAGTACCGCCCCAACTGCTCCAACTGTCACTGAGAAACAAGAAGATCAACCTGATCCAGTTGTGGAGGAAGCACTGCCTGATGCACCTATTTTGTCTGATGAGGAGGATGAGAAGCTTTATCCAGGTTATGTACAACAAAATAATGAGGAACATGCAGCAAATGAAGACTACATACCTACAGGATTTTCAGATACTTATGAAGATGAAAGGCAAGAGGATCATGACATGTGAGCTTTTGAGGATGCAAATGAGGACAGACCTGTCATGATGTATGATAGAGATAACACAAGCATTGAGGAAGGTGTGGTCTTTCCTGGGGCAGTTGATTGCAAAAATGCAGTTGGAACATTCTCAATAAAGTCTAAAACTGAGTACATCACACTAAAGAGTGACCAGAGTAGGTTCACTGTTAAATGTGCCTATGACAAGTGTAAGTGGAGGCTGCATGCATCTGTGATGAGGAGGATCACTTTGTTTCAGGTACTAGCTATTTAGTTTACTACTATTTGTTTTAAAATTGTGACTTTTTGTTTTACTAATGTTGTACTGACAGGCGTCCTTGTTTTATTTTCAGATCAAAGTGAACCCCCACCCTCACACATGTCCTAGTGTGAGCAGATCTCAGATATTGAGAGCTGCAAAAAGAAGGTGGATTGCAGATGCTTCTATGGCTTGGATCAGAAAAAATCCAGGGATTGGCACAAAGGAAATTCATGGTAGGTTGTTAGAGAAGTATGGTCTTGAGGTGCCTTACAGCAGATGCTACTATGGTAAGGAAATGGCACTTGACAAGATATATGGTAAGTATAGTGACAGTTTTCAATTACTTTTTGCTTTCAAAGCAGAAGTAGAGAGGGCATCACCAGGCAGTGTTGTTGACATTGACCATCACATAGTGGAGTACAAGTTAAAAGGAAAGAAATTCTACAAAGAGTGTTTTAGAAGGGTTTTTGTCTGTTTCAAAGCTTGTCAAAAGGGGTTTCTAGAGGGGTGCAGGCCATACTTGGCTGTAGATGCAACTGCATTGCATGGTAGGTTTAGGGGCCAACTTGTAGCAGCATGTGCCCTAGATGCACACAATTGGTTATTTCCTGTTGCATATGGTGTTCTTGAAGTGGAGTCCACTAAGAGTTGGACATGGTTTTTTAATAATTTGAAGAAAGTTATAGGACATCCTGAAGGATTAGTTATCCATACTGATGCTTGCAAAGGACTGGAGAGTGTTGTTGATGATGTTTATCCTGGAGTTGAGCACAGAGAGTGCATGAGGCATTTGTCTCAAAATTTTGGTAAGAAATTCAAAGGGAAATTTTATGATGACAATCTGTGGCCTTGCTCACTAACTTACAGCATCAAAAAGCACAATTATCATCTGAACCAGTTGAAAAGCAAGCTCAAAGTGAAGGAGTATCTTGAGGAGCACCACACCAAAATCTGGGCTAGAGCTGATTTCACTGAGTTGAGCAAGGTTGAGCTAGCTGAATCATTCAACTCTAGAATCAAGAAATACAAGGGCCTAAACCTAGTTGACCTGCTTGACAAGAGTAGGCAGTACATCATGGAGAAGTTTGACCTAAGAAAAAGAATTTGCATTGACCATTTCATTGGGCACAACATCATACTAGTAGTAATGAAGGCATTAATGGAGAAAACTAAAGGTTTGGAGATGAGCATTGTTAGGAGAAGCCCAACAGAGACTGAGGTAACTGCAACTGACAGAGAGAAGAGGGAATGGAGGTATCATGTGGACCTAGAGAACTGGACTTGCAGTTGCAGGCAATGGTAGGTCACTGGTAAGCCATGCATCCATGCACTTTTCTTCATCACTTCTCTAAGGGGTGGTGCTAGTGCAATTGATAAGTATGTCCATAAGTACTACTCTGTTGAGATGTTCAGAGCCATTTATGCTGAAAACCTACCAGCTTTGGAAGGCAAGTAGCAGTGGGACATTGTAGATCCTGAATTCAAGTTATGTGCTCCTGTTCAGAAGCAAGCACCAGGCAGGCCAAGAAAACAGAGGATTGGAGCAAGCAGTGAAGGAAATGGCCTTGGGACAAGGAAGAAGAAGTGCAAAATGTGTGGTAGATGTGGACACCAAGCCAAGGGATGCACACGATCTGTTGATCCAGCTTTTGGAGAAGAAGAGCATTGGGGTGCACAAAATGCAGATGATCATCCAACAGCAGATGATCCAGCAATAGCACAAGTGCAAGATGAGGATCAGCCAATACCTGATGTAGTCCAGCATGAAATGCGACCACCAAGGGAACCATCTCATGAAGCATCTACACAAGCAAGTGTAGTAAGGTATGTGCAATTCTCACATCCATTTCTGTTCATGCATACACTACAATTTGTAACATGT